AAAAAAAAAAAAAACCTATCAAAAAAAGAGATATATAACTAACCTAGCAGAGATAAGATAACTAACCTAGCACTGAAAGACAACTAACCTAGCAGTTGAAAACAACTAACCTAGCAAAAAAAGAGATATATAAGTAACCTAGCAGAGATAAGATAACTAACCTAGCACTGAAAGACAACTAACCTAGCAGTATAAGATAACTAACCTAGCAAAAAAAGAGATATATAAGTAACCTAGCAGAGATATGTAACCTAGCACTGCAAGACAACTATCCTAGCAGTAAAAGACAACTATACTAGCAGTTACAGACAACTAACCTAGCAACAACAAACAACTAAACTTGCAGAGATATATAACTAACCTAGCAGCATCAAAAAAATAACAAAACAACACAGACAACTAACCTACAAACGATAGACAACAAACCTACAACAATAGACAACTAACCTTGCAACTAAACATCAAAAAACATGCACCTCAAACACAACCAAATAAAACCTGAAAATACGGATGATACACTTTATACAAGGAATAGAGACAAGGAATCTGCGAGAATAAAAAGTGAAAAAAAATCGAAAAACAGATTAAAAACAACTGAAAAAAAAACCTAAAATCGAAAAACAGAACAAAAACAAACGCAAAAAAATACTCACCGATTAAGACGAGAATCTGCAAGGATATAGACTACGAACGATAAAACCGAAACAGAAATCCAGATGAAAAGTAAAATGAAATCGCTAGTTGAAGAGAATGGAATGGAAACAAGGACCAAGACCGAAAATGCAACAGAAACAAAGTGCAAGTGCGAAAGTGGAAGAGAAGATGAACCGCCCGCGAAAATTATTAATATAATGAATTAATCTGGGACGTTAGATTAGATGGTGAAAGAACGGACGAGATGCGGTCTCACGTCCTCATTTTAAAAAAGCGGATGTATTGAAATCAATCCCTATATATATATATATATATATATATATATATAACGAAATCGCGCATAATTGTTATTTATGCAATTCATTTAGATAGACAATTTTACATGGCATATAAGTTCGTAAGTAGTGCGGCCAAAAAAAGATTTTGATGAGACAATGTATAAAAGAAAATATATGTATATACTGGAGTGTAAAATAAATTCCCCCTATGTGTAATCATATCAAACTTTATAGAAACAGAAATTTCAGACTGAAAAGGGTAAAATATTTTTCATTCTTTCTCCTTCGGTGTTGCACACACAAACCATAATATTTTTCATTTTTTTTCTCTCCTTCGGTGTTGCACACACAAACCTTACACCCAACCACTATCAATAGCCATCTCAATCTGCAAAAGTTGGGTATCAAAAAAGCCCAAATCTAACCTCTCTCACAAGAACCAACAAGAAAACCTGAGACAGAAACTATCTTTACTCCATGAAATAAGGCCCTTGGTCAAACACTCCCGAGCAGGATAGCAGTCAGCATCAGCTTGCCCACATCTGGATAATCCTTGTGCTTCATGATGACCCCTTCCACAGACAAGCCTATATCCGCTTCCATCCTCAACGGGAGCACCTCATCGAATTTCACATCAAAATTTTTTGAGCGGGGCCCATAACATTTTCTGGAAGCATGAAAAAGTACAGTTTGCTCGAGAATCTTAGAGGTTCTCTCGTCACTCCAGCCCTCAGTCATGGACAAGCCATATAGTCTCTTCCAATCATCTTGACTTGCAGCATTTCTCCAGCACTCCTCCAAAACAATTGTGTTGTTTCTGAGAAGGGACGCACTCGTCCACAAGAATATATCGAAGGGTCTCAACGAAAGCTCCCGCTTCTTGATTCTAAGACACATTTTGATGAGATCCAGCGGAACAAGAAGCTGCTGCACCATAAATTTTTTTGCCTCATCATCATCGTGTAGAAGCCTCATTATTTCTTCCTTTAAGAGTAAGAGACAATGTTAGTCCAGAGAAAATATTATTCCGAGAATTTGGCTAAAGTGATTAGGCATGTTATCAAAATATGAGAAACAATATAGATAACCTACATCCCAACATATTGGTCTCGTCAATTTTTTTTTTTTTTCTTTTTAATGTCAGTTAACAAAACAAACATGCGAATTGGACTAAATACCTGTACTTTCAGAAAATTCAGATCAGCTTCAATATGCTTCACCTTTAGCTCATAGCCAACTTCTCTTCCTGACAGATAGATTTACAAATTGGTATCACCATTTCAGGTGCAAACAACATGGTAAAAAATGATAAAGGACACCAAAAAGTTAAGTATTACATCCTTCTACCAGAAACAAAGACAGATTCACAGATTGGTATCACCATTTCAGGTGCAAACAACATGGTAAAAAATGATAAAGGACACCAAAAAGTTAAGTATTACATCCTTCTACCAAAAACAAAGAGTGACACTGCATCTACACAAATTTTGGACTTCTTACTTTCCTCTCGGGCATTTGAATATGTTCAATACTTCTTTTTGGAGGGCACAATTCTTAATATAGATCATATAGCCAAAGAGCAATCACAATCATAAGAATTTTTAGCATAGTACAGCTGGATAGCCAGTACCTGCCATTGCTGATAGATTTGCGAGATTCAAAAAATGCTTTCTCCTAGCCAAAGTTAATTTAGGTTGTGGGCCACTAGGTTCAGTCTCATCAGTATCTGAAACTGATCTGTTATCCTTAGGAATAGAGAAATTAGATAATGCATGTAAAGTTTCAGAAGCTGAGAAAAATTGACGAAGAAACAATTCGTGAAGCCAAAGAAGATCAGGATGCTGCCTCAGAAATGTAGCAAGCTCGTCACGAAACTCTTCACCCATCCGCATTAGTTTTGAGAATTGTTTGCTATCATAGAGTTGTTTAAATACAAAGCAACTGAAACCTCCATTTGGTCCGATGTTTTCATGCTGCAAAATAGAAGTTCAAATTACTATTTTTATAGAAAGCTCATATGAAAAAAAAAAAAATAAAAAAAAAATAAAAATAAAAATTGAGCAGCTTTTTAATAACAAAATGACGCATCAAAAGCATTGAATTATATAGTCGGGTCAAGAAACAGAATTAGTCTTCTGCAAGCAATGGGCTTGTGGTACTATAACTTATTTCTAAGTTCATACCATGAGACTCTGGAGGAGTTCGGAATCGTTGAGGTCACAGCATATGTTCCACATAGTCTGATAGCCCACATGGCGTTTTGCAATTGACAATAACTTTGAAAAAAATGTCATCAGAGTATCCTTATTCAATTCCTCATTTTCCTCAGCTGAATCCTGCAACGGCAAAACAGGTAACGATTCATCCAAATAAAATCAACAAATGAATCGCAAATAAAAGCAAAATATATGAGCTGGGATGCTACATAACTCCTATGAAATTGTTTACTGTTAGAGAAGTTGTAGAAGGATAAATTAAATGGAAGGGATAAAATTATATTTGTGAAATACGTATTCGACTATTTTGTCAGATCTGAAACCTCATATGACGCCACAATCTAATAAATTAATTCAATGTACTTACCTGTAATTTCGCCTTTATGAAATCTTTCACTTGCTTATAAAGGGAGTCGAGAAGGGTATGGTATCTCTACATTTTGAGTACTCCTCCAACAGGCTTCGATGACCTTCTTTCCGTTCAACTTTTGTTGTGATAGCATTAGAATATGATTCGAGTTGTATCTCTGAGAGTACTACAAGATTTGAATAAAAATCAAATATGACAGAATCTTTAAGCCGTTCTGTTCCACTGAGCAATTGAAACATGAACGATGCAAGATTCCACAGCCCACTCCTCACAACAAAATTAGAATACCACGGTGTCAAGCCCTCGGGTGGAGGGTACCACAAGTGGTGATCAGCCCTATAGTCAACGGCTGCACGGAAGATTGTAACACATGCATTTGCAAGTTCACAAGCTCTTTGAGATTGCACAATAATAGGCATATTTTGGGTGATGATATATTATAGCTTTCCCTCTAAGCAATGAAACAGTTCCTCGAGCTCTGAGACCTTACTATAGAATACTTCAGCATTATCCCTATCCATAGAACTGTGTTCCGGCGGGCCCTCTCACCAACTAACTGGATAAGATCCCATAGAGCTCCAGAAGTCCAAGCATCTGAGTCATAGTAGGAGCCAACCCCAGACACGTTAGCATGGCTAATTGCATTTAGAAGTTCCTCAGTTGAATCATGCTGGCAAGCTTTTCCCCATGTTCCATGATAATTTGCATAGATTGTCCTGGTCAGAGAATAAACATCAAAACATCTTCAGAAATCACAGAGAGAGGGGGAGAGAGAAAATTTCAGAAATATAAAAGAAAAGCAGAATGAAATTGGAAAAAAAAAAAGTGGCAACATAATATAATCTAAATAATTAAAATGATCATACTCCGTCGGTGACACAATTCCTCGAGGCATTTGGACAAATCAAGGAACTGAAGAAACCTCTGATGCTTTTGTTGCTTATCAACTAGTTGAGTGGACACAACTGATAGAGCAATCTCAGATCCCGTGGTTGTCACCCAGTGTTTAGCTAAGGTGTCAACATTTGATTTGCTTATCCTGGCAAATACATTAATCTCTCCTCTCTTTCAAAAGCCCATGAATTTTTCAATTCATCAAGGACACCATCAACCTGTCCAGACAAGAGAAATTCATGGAAAAACTGGCTTAGTAGATATTCCGATTCCTCGTCATGAGGGCTAAGACGTGCACCACCGGTTAAACCCGCTCGTTGCCTATCACTTTTAGGTAAAACTGCGCTCTCAGGTATAGCCCAAACTCCAGCTTTCTCCGTGAGCACAACCCAAGCTCCATCTTCACTTTCCTCAAGGGAAGGGATTGCTGAAGCATCAAGAACTTTTCCAGCATCATTGATCAAATCAAACTGGTAAAACTTGGTGGAGTTTCTCCAATAGTAGGAAACTGTTGCAGTACCATCACCTGAGAGTATAATAGCAGAACCAGCCGGCTTTCCACCTACCTTTAATCTCATTGAGAACAAAAATTCCTCATCCTCTACTCTAGCTTTAGGTATAATAATCTGTTTGCCTATTGGCTTCACTATATCTGCTCCAGATTCGTATTGCATGGTCAGAAGGGAATACTCAGTGTAGCTTGAACTGGTCACCCGATCCTTGCAAAAGATGGCAATTAGAACAGTTATTACCTTGCCATCACTATCAACAGCCAAATCAAGAGGCCAAATCCTCTTTTGGCCAGCAAGGTTTTTCTGTATACCCAAATCACCATCAACGCCGATGATTTCCTGAGACCAAAGCTTTACCACATCTAAATCAGAGGAAAGCTTTATTGCATAGCACTGTATCTCATGATTAGTTAGCAGAAGGAACTGTTTTGTAGTGTCACCTGAGGAATGACCAAAAAACTGCCAAATCAGTGACCTAGGATAGCCTTTACTTGCCAAAGATGAACCGTTATCATTTCCTTCAGATAATCTATTTGACATGCCATGCTCAATTTGTTCAAGCTGAATACCAGAAGGGCTACAGAAGAATCTCCAAAGTTCACTATTAGAACTACATGCAAGTGCAATACATCTTTTGTTGGTAGACGAGACATGTGAAGTTATTAAACAGTTAATATAACATGATATTGCATAATTATTGCCAAGCTTGTCGGAAAAGGCACGAGACGTGAATGGAAGCATCGTATCAGGATTTGAGATATCTGGCCAGAAAAGTAGAGCACCAGTTTTTTTGTTACATAATATAATCCCAGCAGAATTGAGCTGTTGGATAGTGATGCTACCAGCTTTCTTCAAGCAGTCCCAGTTGACAAAACGGACTACCAATTGTTAGGTCGAAATGAGTTGCTGGCCACATCTCCAATTTCTTCTTTAACAGACTTTAGGTCAATGTTGATATATTTTCTTGATGCAGCAGATGATAAGAAGTCCCAGATAAAGAGACCGTTTGCACATATGATCCATGCTAGGGATGTCTCCTTGTCCTTCCACCAGAGATAGATGCATCAGCTGCCACACGAACTAGTATTAAAAATATTTTCAAGAAAATAACTGAAAATTAATCTAACAATAATATGTTTCCAGAATAAAACTTTACTGGACAAACCATGACCATAATTCTGACCTGTCATTTATGCATTACGCAAAACTTGAGGGAACTCCCCAACATAGACAGGTTTAACAGCATGCACGTCATAGTCTTTGACACCTCTATTGGCCAGCTGGATTCTGGGTACGTTAAAAACAGGGTCCAAAGGTTAATTACTAAACATCAAGGTCCTTGTGTCTTCACAGTATACGAGGAGAAGATTCAATATCAATCTTTATACAAATATTCATCATAAAAGGAACAGGTCCTAATAGATCACAAATGTCTCCTTTGTTATCTATATTAAAGTTTAATACCGGGAATGCTACAAATTAAGAATTCTGGAGCTAAACACAACAAAACCAAACTAGCAAGGGTTTGTAAGGTTACTGTTGAACCAAAAATTGCAGTAGAATAGTGCAGAAAAACTTTAGGAAAGTGGCTCTGAAGTGTGAAAGGTGACTCTGCCTACAAAAACACTTGTTCTGCCTACAAGAACACTTGGACAGGATATAGATTTTCCATGATAATCTTTATAGAACTGGTGCTTAAGCTTTTTTAGTGTCCCTCAACTGTAAACATTAACCTACAAACAAACAAATAGAAGCTAATGCAGATACTCTTGGGTTCAAAAGTTATCTACTGGAACAAAACCACAAAAGTTGCAAAATATGATTGAAAGACCAAAGCTAAACTCTATGTCCCAGGGTAGTTTAACTTCAATGGGCATCCAGAAATGTATCATTGCACATAAAGAGATTAACAACTAAATCAAACCCAAACCCAAACCACCACCACAACAAAAAACAAAACAAAACACAAAAAAAAAAAANNNNAAAAAAAAAAAAAAAAAAAAAACAAACAAGACACACACAAATAAACTACTCGTCTCAGCTCAGTCACCCACAGCACTACAGTTCAATTAGTATCCTTATCGAAAAATGTATGAGCATCCATAGTCCCTACAAAATCTCTTCTCATTTCGTTTTGTTCTACTCCAAAACAAACATATGTCAAGAAAAAATGACAGAGAATGACATAGCATAAGCACGTAAGAGAAATACTACCTAGCGAGGACGGAAAGGCGAGAGGCCAAAGGGGCGGGGCTCCCACTGGCGGGGCGATTTGGGACAGCTGGGCTGTCGAGCAGTGGTCTCCGGTTGCCGGCCACCGGAGTGGAATCGTCGTCTCTCCGGTTAGCGACATCTTTGCGGGCACTGAAGGAGGATTTCTTAGAGCATCTCCAATCCATTATGTATAGCACGAGGAAACTTTATGGTTGGAGAGAATTCATCTCCAATCAAGCCCTCTATTTGTGCCGGAAACTGTACAGAGTTTTTGTGGAACGGTTTGGCAACTGTTCACCCTCTATACATTTTTTCTTTCTTTTTTCTTTTTTTT